TTCTTTGAAAGTCTGGTTATGCACTCAGAATCTCAGGTATTGACCTATACAGCCTATTTTCCGAGTGACTTGAAAGATTTAACCCAGACTGTTTTCACACAGGCTGCCATTGCAAGCAAAACTGCAAAAGGGCAAGTCCCACTGAACTCCGTGAAGCTTATTTGCTTCTGAGAGTAAACATGCTTTGGAGTGCAGTAAACAAAAACATTTCTGAAGACTGCAGGAAGTGAGTTATATACTAAGTCTGACCATTAGGCCATCTGGCTCCCTGCAGTGGGCAGTATGGAAAGTGGTGGTACACACCTGACCTCCCAACAGCTGAGTCGCTGAAGCTTACTAGGAGGGGCAAGGTGTGGACAGGTTGGCACTGTGTAAACACGCCGGCAGAGCCAATGCAGCATCTGCAGCAAGTGAGAAGTTTGTTCTAACAAAAGCTGGAGGTTGCCTGAGGCCTTACGCCCCCCCCCCCAGTCCAAATGACTGCTCCTAGATTCCATCCCCTCTGCCTAAGGCATGTGGCCTCTTAAAAGGACAGCATTTTTTAATTATTATTCCAAATTGGACTGATGAAATGAAGAGAGCTTAGAAGGAAACCCTCCTAGGGGCAGGGTATATCAAAGTAGGTGTGGTCAAAGTGTAGAAGAGGGTGTCACCAGTTTGGTTTTTTTATGAGACAAACTTTGGGAGGTGTGGCGGCTGGGGAGAGCCTCACAAAAACATTCAGCACCACAGAGTCACCTCAGAGGACCATCAGGAGTGTGGCCAGTAATTTCTTTTAGCGTTGTTTTTTTTTTAATGGGGAGATGGGGGAGGGCTTGTGGGGGCATAAAATGCCTTTTGGCAGTACATTCTGGGATTTAGGGGTTGTTAGTCAAAACTCTTTTTTTTAAGTTACTAAGAATTCAAAAATTAAATTAATAAAATAAAATATTTTTTAAAACTTTGGGGATGCAATAAACCACTTTCATTATTGTGGCATCTCAATGTGGGAGTCAGGGAAGCACTTGTTTTTTTAATGAACATTTGGGGGGCCTGGTGGGGCTAAACAAACATTTTGAGGGCCAGATACAGCCCAGTGGCCTGGGGTAGCCCACTCTAACTTACACGCAGGGCTGATCCATGACTGCCTCAAGTGAAGGACCCTTTCCATATAAAAGAACCAGCCAGCCTGTCACTTGGATATGACGTCAATGCGGGCAGCGGGATAGTGCCATCCAGTGCAGCTGAAGGCAGCAGGCAGACAGGCCATGTGGCACACACCTCTCTGTTCTCCAGCACAAGGGTACGGCCAGGGGACTCAGGATGAGCAGCTGGAGGGGCTGCTGCTGCTGCTGCTCCTCACATTTGCCAGCTGAGACAGGTCACCTCATTCTGCCTAATGTAGGACAGGCCTTGCCTGCACCCACAAAAAGGCATTACCGTGTGGTTTGGTGTGGCATGTAGAGATCAGCTCGGAGACATACTTCCCTAACTACCACCTGTGTCTCCTTAAGGAGTCTAGTAGCAACTCCACTTGGAGAACCTCGCAGACCCTGGAGAATATTCTTATTTCAAAGGTGTATCATACCTAAACCTCGAGAGGACAAAATACCTACATCTGTCACTCCCATAACTAACTTGGATCAGAGTATTGATCAGCCTCAGTATATATTGTTTTCCAGGGAGAAGATGAGGTGGACAGGCTAATCCATTACTCGCAGCCATTTCTCAGTGGAAAGCAATAGTGCTAATGATACAGATTTCCAATAGCTGATTTATATGATCTGGAAGCAAATAAAAGCTGGTGGCATTGTCACTGCATCATTTAAAGGCAATGTGATTTGGGACGACAGGCCCCAATTCAGATCATCTCAAGCATAGTTAACTTATTTTTCAAGAAAAATCTACCCCAAAAAAGTATCAGCAACACTTGCCATCTATACATACCTGGGGATCAATCCAAAACCTGAAATTTTTTGTGCGATTGCCAGGCAGTAAGAGAAGGCAGGGGGTCAGTTTCTACAGTCTACAATCTAGAATACAAACGTTGCAGTTTGAATATACAGATGAATTCTACCCCTTCCATGTATATCATTGTCAGTTTGTAACTGTTGAAATCTTGTTTGTGGGCCCATTTGTGAATCTGTCTTCTTTTAATTTAAACGCTGAGGCCAAAAGAAAGAAGCTGAGGATTGGGGAGAGAGGACAAGGAGAGAGGGCGAGAACACAGAATATTGGGGTGGAGGGGAAAGAACGTTGACACATAAATCTTCTCACAAGACATCCATCTAAAAGCCCAACATTTTACACATAAGAGCTTGCTGGATCAGGCCAAAGGCCCATCTAGTCTCGTATCCTGTTCACACAATGCAAGCAGGACCCAAGGGCAAGAGAACTCTCCCTTCCTCTGGCTTCCAGCAACTGATATTCAGAAGCGTCAGTGTCATAGCATGGGTTGCCAGCACCCGGGGACCATGCGGAGTGGAAGAGAGAGGGAAACAGATGGAGTACACATGCGCATTCAACTCCCTAATGGCATCCACATCACCCAGGAGATCACAGCCACAAAGATAAGAAAAGAAGAGTCGTTCCATTGTCTGGAGAAGTCACTTCCTGGTTCGCACGGAGAAGCTGTTTTCAACGGAGCCCAGCAATGGAAGTGCACAGCTGTACTGAGGCAGCTACAGGTTCTGAAACGTGTGCTCAGCTTATATGGTTCAAACAGAAGAGGGATACAGAGAAAGGAACAGGAAACAACCTTTTCTCCCTCCCTCTCCAAAGATGTGGGGGCGTGCCCTAGCCAAGCCTTCTCTTTCAATTTACAGCTCTGTGGTCCTTAACCCCTTTCTTTCTGGCAATTATGCACCGTTATGTCTGGCTCCTTAATCTCCCACACTTCACACCCTGAGTTTTTGCCTTGCTGAGATGTGTCCTTCAACTCTGATAATGCCTCTTACTTGTCTTGGGTGGAGGACAGAGAGGGGTGCACGAGTGGGTGTGGAAAGTAGCCTATCACAGAGAGGGGGGAATTACATCTCTTGCTCCGCCCACTTCTGATGCCTGTCCCCTCCACCACTGGCATGTGGCCCTTGGGAAATTGCCTAGAAGGGAAAGTGGCCCTTGAGCTGAGAAAGGTTCCCTGGTCCTGCTTTGAGTGATGTTTTCCCTGTGTTTTCCAGCCCAACATGGTATAGACCAGCTTCTAGTGGCTGCCATGGATCCCTTGACTGAAGGATCCATTAATTAAGAAACCCCTAATTTGTTGTTTAAATGATAAACCGTAATGGCTCCAGTGCAGCTGTTATAAACCACCAAGAAAATTATACCCAGCTGAAAGAGCCCATAATTAGGTATTTATATAGCAGATTGAAAGGACTTTGAGAGATAACAGATTTTTCTAAGGTCTGCACTTTTTAAAAGGCAACATGACAGAGCCATGAAATCACAGGGCCATGGAAGCAAAGGTAGCTGCAGTGAGTGACATTTTTGAAGAGAAGGATTGTCACCATTTTGCCCCATTGCGTGGCCAGGCGCCACAGCCCCCCACCGACTCAACTTTATGGAAAGAACCAGACAAGACAATAATTACTTTGGGTCACATCAGATGTAAGAGGTTTGGCATAAGCGTTGGGTACAACCATTGACTGCTGGAAGTATACTTTTTTGGGTCAACCAAGCAGCGAAGAAGTCCTATGACTTATATCAAATAGTAGTGCCCCCACGGGATCACCGCCTTGAGGAGTGCTATGGCCCTAGCCCGTGCCTGGGCGTCTGGACAGAAGCAACTCCTCCTGGATCCCTTTAATGGGATACCCCTTACCTTTGGAGGAGCAGGTAGAGGCTACAACCTCCCCTCCAACCAGGACCAAGGTTCACCCAATGTTGAATGTAGAAATGACATTTTTGAAGAGAAGGCTTGTCGCCATTTTGCCCCATTGGCATTCATCATGTCAATAGGCCCCAAAAGGGACTTATAGAAAATGAGTATGCCCAAGCATTTACTTCTTTAGAGATTGACCTGAGTAACTGTAATCCCGAGCATCTGGTAACACTGAACCTGGTCTACCAAGAGAGATGGGTGTGTGCATAAGCAGCCTTCTACACGTGTTAATTCTGAAAGACTATCTGCATGGGCTTCTGAGTGCACATCTCCATTGCAATGCACATCCAATCCCTACTGAACTGACTGCATGAAGTTTTCATTGGAATAGGAACGCATGCCTATCTCTGGGGCCAGTGTTTGTTACACAGAACTAGTTTCTAATAGCTGCAGCTGGAAAGCAAGTCAGAAATGCATGTCTGTGAGGAAGCTGTGAGGAGGAGAGGTCAACTGGATATTTGGGGTGCAGTTCCATCAGTAGGCTGTTGACAGCCAGCTCAGACTCTCCTTCTTCTCATCCAGTTCCAGGAGGCAGTGGAGGTCTTGAACCAGGTCAGAAGTGGACTGGATGTGGGTTAACAAGACAAGACTTCCGGACAAGACAGAGGTGCTTTTGCTCATTGGAAAGATGAGCATATGAGATGATGTATACAGCTTGTTTGGAATGGGGCACCATTCGCCTTGAAGGATCAGAGTCACAGCTTGGGAGGATTTCAGGAGGACCCAGCTTTGCTCCTGAATGGGTCAGCATATGGCTTCTCCTGATGTGCTTGTTGTGCCCTTTCCTGAGAAAGGTAGTTGTCGTCACAGTCATGTACGCCTGAATCACATTCCAATTAGACTGCTGCAGTGTGCTCAGTGTGGGGCTGCCTTTGAAAAGCGCTCAGAAGAATACGAAGAAGAGTTTGGATTTGATATCCCGCTTTATCACTACCCGAAGGAGTCTCAAAGTGGCTAACATTCTCCTTTCCCTTCCTCCCCCACAACAAACACCCTGTGAGGTGAGTGAGGCTGAGAGACTTCAGAGAAGTGTGACTAGCCCAAGGTCACCCAGCAGCTGTGGAGGAGCGGGGACGCGAACCCGGTTCCCCAGATTACGAGTCTATCGCTCTTAACCACTACACCACACTGGCTCTCAGCAGAAACAGCAACTAGTGCAGAAGGCTATGGCCAGAGGTTGATGGGAGCCTGCTTTCCAGAGCATGTTACTCTGCTTTCCAGAGCATGTTATTGAGTCCTGTCAGCAGAACCGTCTCTAAAACATCCCTTTTCCTACAGAGGCCTACCTTGATATCATGTGGGATTGTGTGGCCAGCGCATGCCTACCTCATGCAACTCCCCAGTAATGTCTAGGAAATAAATGTGTGCTGTGAGGTCATTGCGTTCGGGTCTCTCCCCACCCACAGCCCCCTGCAAGCAACCACTAATGTGTTGGGAAGCAGGGCAGGGAAATGCTCAACATGACGGTGCCACATTATACTTTTCTTTTGCCAAACAATGAAATACTGCTGTCCTTGGAAGGGAGCACAGATTCTCCAAGCTGGATGAATCATCCATTTGGCTATCAGTTCTGCATGCCTGATTCAGACAACTTGTGGCTCGAGAGAAACCTAAGTGGGCAGAACATAACAAACAAACAAGAGAAAATGCACATATTGCCCCTAAACCCAGGTTGATCCACTTTCCTCTTAGCATTCAAAGTCTGCTGTTGATTTCACATTTTCAACCACACAATCTCTCTCTGTGTTTAAGCATTTCACTGAGTGTGGGGGAAATCAGATGCATTAAGTGTAACTTGGCTCAGATTTTTTATTCAAGCTTTTCTTTCCCTTCTCTCCCTTCCAGCTCCTGCTTGGAGAGGTTTTAATTCGTATGCAGATTTCTGCCTTGCGCAAAGGAGTTGCTTCTCCTCACTGAAGGTATTCGGACATCAAGGGTGGGGCAGTGAGTGGGAAGGAGCAAAACTCCCCCCCCTCCCAGGAGGGGGCTTTCAACCTTTGTGGAAAATAATGATGTATGAGACAGGGATTCTTTTGGAACCCGAAGAGTACATGACAGATAGAATAATATGGGGGCCAAACACTGTCATCCCAATTGAGACGGATGGTCTCATCTCATCTCACGGTGATTGTGAGCGGCCCAAGCTGAGATGAGCTTTCTTACGAAGGACATCATTTGGTGGCAGGTAATGTCTGCCGAACACGCGGTCCCTCAGTGGTAGCTTTCCATCCAAAGGGCGAGATCTTGACAGGAGCCAAGGCAGCCTTTGTGCAGGCCTTCATAGTGGGGTCCCAAAATGCTTTTTGGGCATTATGATGCATGCTTGCCAGGAATGGCAAACCTTATATCTGGGTTGAGGGAACCCTCTGTGGCACAGCACACCATCAGCTTTATAAACCAACTTCAGTTTTCCCAGGCCTTCATTCATTCAAGTCCTGCCCCACTTACTTTTCTCTGTTTTTTAGTATTATGAGAAAAGGCTGTTCATTTGTACGTGGGAAGATGAAACGCTGGAATCAAGGAGAGGTGATCACATTGGGAATGAGCTGGGCCTTCTTCGTTCCAGTTTTAATGTCCATGAACCTCAGACTCTGGTTCCCTTTGCTCCTTCCCCTCCCTGCCTTGCTGAGCAGTGACATGAAGATGGAGTCCTTTAAGTAGGACTATTTGCAGGAAGAGCCTATGACCGTGAGAGCTTCCAGGGCCAGGGATAAGAAAACTCTGCTTCTGAGAACAGGAAAAACAAACCAGCTACATTAACTCCTTCTTTGGGGTCGTATATTTTAATCATAACAACCAAAGGTCTAAACTTCCTTTCTGAAAATGAGGAAATGACACAAGGCTTTGAATTGTAGAGTTTCGACTGCAACACACTGAATGAGCCGTGTTGAAACGGCCCCACAGTACTTTCATTGTGCCATATCTCTGTATCCAAAGCTTTGGGAACTGTTTGTTATAAAGAAAGGGCAACATCAATCATTCACTGTTGAACAGGCGGCCAGATGGGCAAGAGGGGGAACTAGCACAAATTTATGGTGCAATCCTATGCACATCTAACTCTGAAGCCTTGCTCCCTGGTAAAGTGCCTTCAGCAACCTGCAGCCTTAGCCCATTCTTAAGACGAGATATTAAAATGCTAACTTCCCAACTCTGCAATTCTAAATCTGTGTCTCTCTTCTTCATAGGCTGGTCCACACATGCAGTTTATCACTTGGGAATGAAACACCCCGTGTTATTTTTCAGGTTGGATGAGGGATGATCGATCACGGACCACAAAATGTTCTTAGCATCTCAGGTGCAGAGGGCGTTGGTTCATGCATTCAGCTGTGCCATCTTCGAGTCAGGAAAAATCAGGTCCTGTGCTTGAATGTGAGAATGTACTCCGCGTGGTTCTTGTTTACATCATAGAATCATAGAAATGTAAAGTTGGAAGGGGCCACAGGGGTCATCTATATGATTTTTTTTGGGTCTTTATTTATTTATTTTTCAAAAATTGTCCACGCTTGTACGAAGCTGACAATTAACAGAAATAGGCTGGTCTGTCTCCACATGGCATTATTTTTGCTGTGATGTGCATTCAATTGTGCATCTACATTCTGCCGCAATTATTTCCCACTTCCAAGTAAATACCTTTTTTTAAAAAATGACTATAATTGGATCAAAGCGGTTAGTTTGTTTTGTATTATCTGTCTCTGTCTCCCTCTGAGAATTGCTCTTTTAAATACTTCTGTGAAATATTTCCTCCTTCTTGGAAAATCAAAAATTTTCCCTTCTCCACATGGGTCATACTGAAAAACATTAGGAAAAATGGTCATGGGCAGCAATGATAGTACCTTACAGATAGTGAGCATAATTAAAATTAGATGAAAGCTATTAACATCAACGTCCTGCCCTGGTTTATATTTTTTTTTGTGTTTTCTTACCTTTTTTTTTAAAACAAATAGTATTGTCTCTATCAGTTTCAGATCAAATATATCTTTGCAAAGCTTTCCGTTTCTGGATGTGAAACTAGACAGATCTGGGACTGAACTTCTGAAGATTCTGTGAATCAAGAACCTAGAAACAAGGCAGCAATCTGAAGTCCTTGGGGTTTTTAAAGCCACCCCCCACCCCAGAAACCCCAACCTTCCTTAGGACATTTGAAAACATCATAAGAGTTCTGCTGGAAGAAACCAATGGCCCATCCAGTCCATTTCAGACATCCATTGCACATGTATAGATGACAGCTCAGGGCACGGATTGCAGGTAAAGGGAAACAAATCAGGTAATGGGCACTGGGTGAAAACACCCCTACCCTTTCTCTGGTGTGTGCAGTAAATGTAAAACTGTGGCTTGAACTGCAGCAGGGGGAAGTGACCTTAGTGTGTTTTAAACCGCTGGCATGTATATCTCCTCGGTCCACAACAAACTGCCTTGTGGAAGTGGCCGTGCCATCTGCCGCAAATGGAAGACACACTTCCTTCTGCACAGGATCAGGCTGACCATCTTATAAAACTTTGCTGGGATCATAAGAACGTTAGTCATGGTGTGTAGAAAGCCATGTGCATATTCAAATGTTGGTGTTTCAGTTCATAGTGCGATTGATCATATAAGCATGACATGGGAGGATGTGGTTGATGGGCATTTAGCCAGATGGAGCCCTACATTGGACAATTATTATTTTTTAGAGTGACAAATATAAACTCCATAGGGAATATATACACTGGGGGAGAGGGGGACATTGGTGGCAAACTAAAACATTATGGGATGAGGATGGCGCTGTGGTCTGAACCACTGATCCTCTTGGGCTTGCCGATCAGAAGGCCGGCGGTTTGAATCCCTGTAACAGAGTGAGCTCCCATTGCTTTATCCCAGCTTCTGCCAACCTAGCACTTCAAAAGCACGCCAGTGCAAGTAGATAAATAGGCACTGCTGTGGTGGGAAGGTAAACAGCGTTTCCGTGCACTCTGGTTTCTGTCATGGTGTTCCGTTGTGCCAGAAGCGGTTTAGTCATGCTGGCCTCATGACCCAGAAAGCTGTCTGTGGACAAACGCTGGCTCCCTCAGACTGAAAGCAGGATGGGCGCCGCAACCCCATAGTCGCCTTTGGCTGGACTTAACTGTCCAGGGGACCTTTACTTTTACCTTTTTTACAGCCCAGGTACAAAAAATAATTCTGGTAATTCTGGGGTGTCTGGTCTCCCCGCTTTGCAAAAGGTTGCCAATTTTAAAAGTGAATTAATTCAGTGCCAAGCATTTACATACAGAGCAAAGCTGCTCTACAAACCTGGTTATACCTGGAGAGTCATCAGAAAGTATAACCTTGCCCACACTTCTCCCTGCTCTGAGTAAAATGGGAAGCTGTTGGCCTTTCTGAGTTTAAATACTACACATATGGTTGTCAAACGAACAAAAGACACACCTAGATCAGGTGTGGGGAAGCTTTGGCCCTTCAGATGTTACTGAACTATAACTCCCATTACCCCTGTCCATCGGCCATGTGTGCTTGCGGGGGGGGGGTTGGGAGTTGTAGTTCAGCAACATCGCAAGGGCCAAGCTTTTCCACGCCTTAGATGAATACTTGAATGTTTTAATGTTATTTACAGTCAAAACAAAGGTCAATAATAGCAAAACAATTCCCTTACATTAATCTTCCTTGGCCATTCTTCATTCTGTCCCCCCCCCCTAACTATGGACAGGATAGACATTCTGCCAGGGCCAGGGCTTTTCCCCCCTAAATGAAGCTAATCAGATATATTTTAACTCTTTATTCAATGGAAAAGTCACACTTTATTATGCTAGAAGCAATCATGCATTAAATAGCTAACAGAGCAATTCCAGACATGTCTCCTCAGCAGTAAATCCCATTGGATTAAATGGAGTTTATTCCCAGGTTATAGGGTTGCTATCTTGTAAGTGTGCATAGGATTGAAGCCGAAACAGCCACTCTCACATCTGCCTAGTATTTTCTGAGCCCTGTCTAAGCACACTGTTTGTTTTTCCAGACCACACTTTGCATTTTCCCAGACCACAAACCACATGGATTGTAGGCCTGCCTTTCCGTGTCAGGCAGGAGCCACGCCAGGAAAACGTCCACCCCACCCCTGCAATCTGTGTGACTCTAAAAGGTTTGGGAAGTCAGCCTCCCAGTTTTTAAGTCTCCGGACAAGCTGACATCTCCTCGAAGCAAGGACATTCAAGGACTCCTTGAAGCCAGTCTATCAGTGGCTGGGACTGATGCCACGGCCACTCGGGTAAACCAAACAGTTTGCCTTTTGTAACAGGGGTTTTCTCCGACGAGGCAGCATTGGGGAAGAAAGCACAAATATTTGGTTTCACAATTCAAGCATTGTTTCAGATCACAGAAGTTCGCTGTACATTGTGAGCCAATGGCACGCAAACTATGAGAAATCTAGGCATCTATTTTTAAATATGCAGAAGGTCCCCGGGTCATTCTCTCCTGCTTCTGTTGCTAGCTTTCTACAAAAGGCCTAAGCAAACAAGGGGGTTAGCTTTAGGACAAGCTGTGTATTAAATAGGACTGTTTGACCACTGCTTCTTGCACCTTCATTCTCTGAACACATCTGGCTATGTTTCTCAAGCCCTCTGGCTTGTAGTTTAACTTGGATCACTTTCATCTGTCCGCTACTTATATTTTAAGGGAGCAGCACCCTCTTCTGGCAAACTGAAAGAATAACTGCCAGGCAGTCCTGATCTGAATTTGTGCATTACGCACAATGTTCTTGGCATCAAATCCCACCCTATAATTCAGTGCACGTCTAGGCAGAAAGTTCCTATGTCCATACCAAATCAGGAGCTTCGGAGGAAGTTTCCGTCACCGAGTAAGGATGAATAAAACATTGCTTTAATTAACAAATTAATTAAAAGGATCTTTTCCAAGGATCTCAAGGTGGTTTATGTAGAAGAAATAAGAAATAGGCAAGACACAAAAGGAAAAGGGGAGGGGGAGGGAAGAGGAAAACAAGCCAACTCAGCCACCAGTTCTCCAAGTTCACAAAGTTCTAATATGAAGCTTGAACGTTTCAGGGACAGGAGGAACAAAATGGAGCTGGTCTCCTGGCACTGGTGGAGTGATCCTACAGTCCACTTCTCCCTCTGCTGTAGCCTGATGGAATGGCTGCTGTGAGATGTCAGTGGATGGACAGAGAAGAGAACTCAACAAATTGTTCTCTCAGCAAAGCATGGTCCCTGTTCTTTTCTTTCCCTTTGCTACTGCCAGGTACAGACCACATTCCACCATGCAGAACAGCAAGCTTTGCATCCAAGCGCCACACCCCTCATGTTAAGCCCCTCTTAGTGAAATGCAGAAAAACAGCTCAACAATTTTCAGGTTTTCTTTACAAAAAGCTGAACAATTTTGGGGGGTTCCCAGTTTTTACTTTTTGAAATATGGGAACCCTATGAAATGAGCCTTCTCAAATCTGCATGAGTAACACCAAGTGAGCATCCCAAGGGAAATGTTCCTCCTCTTCCTTCCTTTGAAGTGCCTGAGCATCTGCTTAATGGAGTCCTCCGCTGCTTACAGATTAGTCCCAGGTGCCCCTCAGGAAGTTTCACAAGGACAAGGACATCTTAGCACTGCAGCAGAGGCTCTCATCACCTGGCAGAAGTTTTAAACTCAGCAAGTGTTGAGGAACTGGGGAGGGGGAGAATGAGGGGAGTGGCACCCAGAAAAGATAGAAATAAGTAAACTGGAATCCCTCATACCAGTCGTTGGCAAGATCTTCTGACACTCGCACAGGTGGAACCATCTCACTGGAGAGTGCCTGAGCAAGTGCATTTTTCTCTTTTGGAGGAACCACCACCAGGAAGGATTTAAATGAGGGGCAAGCAACCTTTTTCAGCCGTAGGCTAGTCCACCGTCCCTCAGACCATGTGGTGGGCCAGACTATATTTTTTTTGGGGGGGGAATGAATGAATTCTTATGCCCCACAAATAACCCAGAGATGCATTTTAAATAAAGGGACACATTCTACTCATGTAAAAACATGCTGATTCCCAGACTGTCCACGGGCTGGATTGAGAAGGCGAATGGGCCGCATCCGGGCCCCGGGCCTTGGTTTGCCTACCCCTGCTTTAAATGATATTCTTATCCACATTTCCTTTCTTACTGACTTGAACAATCTCAGTTTGCAGTAAAGAAAAGAACAGGAAAGAAAGGGGAGCAAGCTGCAAGATGAGCTGGGGTAGTTAATATAGCCCCAGCCCTTCAGACTGCAACTCCTACCATCACCATTGGCCCATGCTGTCTAGGGCTGATGGGAGCTAGTCCAACAACTCCTGACATATATTAAATTAGATTTATTATATATATATAAAAAACCACCCAGCCTTGGTAGATCAAGGTTAAGGCTTCTGCACAATCCTATATACACATACTCAGAAGGAATTCCACTGAATTCTGTGGGAATTATCCCCAGCAAGCTGTGTGCAGGACTGCAGTCTAAATTCCCACAAGTTGATATATTTTACTGATTGGTGTGCTTTGACTGGGAATTCCCACAAGAAAGCGATGGATGAAATGGGACATGCACACATGCACACACACTTACATTGCTTTTTTTATTTTAGCACAGGGGGCTAACCATCCCAATGAGCCCACCTTGGCTTCCTTGCATGTTTCATGTTTGGCTAATCGTCTGCCATGCGCCTACCATTACCTCCTGTGACTTCCGGTCCTTGGGAGCATTCTTGCAGATTGTGCCGATCTGCCTCCATTGGACGTCTACAGGAACGCCGTGTCCTTAGCTGGAACTCCAGAAAATAATATACAGTTGAGACACTATCTTCTAGAAGCAATCTTTCTTTAGGTTGTTGTTAAATGTCTAGATTCTTATCGATTTATTATTATTATTATTATTATTATTATTATTAAAGTTTAATAAGCTTCCCAGAGCTGTTTGAGAAGTTCTGGACAATAAATGTAAGCAAGATGAAAATAATGCCCCAGATTTGTTACATTTTCAAGTGGAATTGAGTTTTCCTTAGATAAAGAAACACTGTCACCAGCATTTTGGGTGGGCTTTTAAAACTGAATGGAGAGGTTTGCCTTCACCAGACCTTGACACAGTATACCTGAAGGAGCATCTCCACCACCATTGTTCAGCCTGGACACTGAGGTCCAGCTCTGAGGGCCTTCTGGCGGTTCCCTCCCTGCAAGAAGTGAGGTTACAGGGAACCAGGCAGAAGGCCTTCTCGGTAGTGGCGCCTGTCCTGTGGAATGCCCTCCTATCAGATGTCAAGGAAATAAACAACTGTCCGACTTTTAGAAGACATCTGAAGGCAGCCCTGTTTAAGGAATTTTTTAATGTCTGATTTTTTATTGTGTTTTTAATGTTCTGTTGGGAGCCACCCAGAGTGGCTGGGGAAACCCATGTTTCAATGACTCCCCTGGCCCCGGAGTAATAGAAGAAGCTGCTGCACAAGTATTTCATGTGTTCTTCTGGATTGCAGGGTGTGAGCTGGAATCGAAAGGTTGGTTCCAAAGGAAGGTTTATCTTAGCGGAAAGGGCAGGTGAAACCAGCCAGATTTATGCTGGTTTGAGACGCGGACCGAAATTCAAAAAGCTATGGATCGGAGCACGTGTTCTGACAAAAGCAAACTCCAATGGCCTCAAGTGGGAGATTTGGATGCTCAAGCAATGCAGGGCCAGGTCCAAAACCTGATGAAAGGAGCACTCAGAGTTCGGAGGACAAAAAGCCCTCTGCTAGGACTGAAGGGTGTGGGAGGGGGAGGTCGCTAAACAGGAACAGTTCTGTGAGTTAAAAAACATATTCTTCTTTTTTCTTTTTTTAAAAAGAGCAAATAGTGTTCCTCCTACACAGCTGGAAAAGAGCTTACAGGGAGGAAAACTGCTTTGCTGTGTAGTTGACTAGGTCAGATTGTCGGATGACCAGGGGTTGCAGAGGTTCAGCTGCAAGGTGTATAGGGTACATTACATCGCTCAGACATGGGAGCACTTCCGCATAAAGCTCTGTACATGATAGAGGAAAGATTGTGCAAATATCACCGGCATTTGGGGCACAGTCTGTTGGGAATTAACATGTAGAGCAGGGTCAAGTGGTAAAGTTTTCTCTGGCCTGTCTTGCTTTAGAAATGTCTTTTGGGGTGCTTTCCCATGCAGGGCTGTTTTTAAATGGGCAGTTCAAAATGTCCCCTCCATCCCTACCAGACAGGTAACGTAGCTGGGGACCAGGGGGAGACCAGTCTTGCAGTCTCTGGTACCACCTCTCCCATTGTTTAAAGTCAACCCAAAATGATAAATAGCTGAAGTGAGGCTTTGTTTTGGATCCAGACTGAAGCAAGAAGGCAGCCCAAGGCGCTGAACTGAAGTAAGAGTTGTTAATTTAACTTTAGCCATTTCCAGCAAAGTTGCATAAACACACTGTGATCTTCATTTCAAGCCCAATGTGAAGTGATATGAAAAAAGCCTGAGGTGCTCTCACTTGAGGTGATATCAAGCAACAAGAGACTTATTTGCTGTGGCATCTGTGAGTAGGAGAAAGAGAAGAAGAAGAAGAAGAAGAAGAAGAAGAAGAAGAAGAAGAAGAAGAGGAGGAGGAGGAGGAGGAGGAGGAGGAGGAGGAGTAGGAGGAGTTTGGATTTGATATCCCACTTTATCACTACCCTAAGGAGTCTCAAAGTGGCTAACAATCTCCTTTCCCTTCCTCCCCCACAACAAACATTCTGTGAGGTGAGTGAGGCTGAGAGACTTCAGAGAAGTGTGACCAGTCCAAGGTCACCCAGCAGCTGCATATGGAGGAGCAGTCTACTGCTCTTAACCACTACACCACACAGAGCCAATTGACATCTACAAACTGTTGTTCTATACTGCAGTCTTCAAGTGCTGAATATTCCTTTCTGAGACAGGCACCTCTACTTCACCTCAGCATCTATAACCCATGAGCGGGAATCTGTGGCCCTCCAGATGTTGTTGGACTACAACTCCTAGCATCCCTGACCACTGGCCACATTGGCTGGGGCTCATGGGATTTGGAGTCCAACAATGTCTGTCGAGTTAGAGGCTCCCATCCCTGCAGAGTCAGTCTTAATATACTGTGATTATCATTATAA